CAGCACAGCCCCCGTGGCTCTCTGTGTTTGGCTGGGAGCCCCGTCGTTCCCCCTAAACGCAGCTGGGAGCCCCCAAGGCTGTTCAGTAGACTCCACTGGGCCCAGAGAGGTCACCTGCTTTCCTGCTGTCCCACACAGGCCCCTGGAGTCCACGGTCAGGCAGTGAAGTGTGGGCTCTGGACCTGGGCTCCTGCCCCAGCTGGCAGCCCAGGGTGAGGGGCTGCCCCTCCGCGAGCCTCAGGTCCCCCTCTGTCTCGGCCCAGCTACAGGCACTGGGCAAGCACTTGGCAGCCCTCTGCAGAGAAGTGGTGGACTGGGTGGGGTGGGGTGGGGTGGCAGCACAGGGACCTCCAGGTGTGGTGGCTGCTCCTCCTCCGCCCCTCCCACCTCGGCGTCGCCTCATTTGCTACCCAGGTTATCGCCTATGCCCCCATGGGCGGCTGGTCCATCTACATGGTCATACCATTCCCCAGAAGCATGAGGATTGCACCTCTTGCTAAGCGAAAGGTCGGCAGTTCAAACCCATCTAGGGGCTCCATGGGAGAAAGGCTTGGCCATCTGCTCGCATAGAGACCGACCCAGACCCCTTGCTGTCAAGTTGATTCTGACTCATAGTGACCATGCAGGACGGAATAGTACTGGCCCGTAGAGTTTCCAAGGCTGCAATCTCTATGGGAATAGAGCATCGCGTCTTGTGCCCTGAGGACCTACTGCTGGGTTCAAACTGTCCACCTTTTGGTTAGCGTTGTGCGCTTAACCACTGCCCCACCAGGGCTCCTCTGTAAGGATTACAGCCCAGAAGACCCCATGGGGCAGGTCTGCTCTATCACACGGGGTCACTATGAATGGGAATTGATTTGATGGTACCACCACCAAGCAATCCCAATGCACCTGCCTCAGTTTCCCCTCTTGGCAGTGGCAGGGACAGGTGCCCAGGCACTTTTGTGTAAAAGGATCAGGGCAGAGTGTTGGCCCGGTGCCATGCTGCCTGCCCAGGACAGCCCAAGGTTCCTTGCTTCCTCTTTCTCCTGATCACTCTCACTTGGCTCTGAGCGGCCCTGTATGCTGTGTGTCCTTCCTTAGGCTGTTCCCTGTGCCTTGACACCCCCACCCCAGCTGCCATGCACCCTTTAATTCTCTGCCAAATAATAACAACATTCAGCCCGGAGGCAGCATGGTCCATGCCGAGGGAACAGCCTGTGCAAAGGCCCTGGGGCAGTACCAGACCTGGTGAGTTGGAAGAACACTGGGGAGGTCCATGGGGCTGGAATGGAGTAAGTGAGGAGGAGAGAGGAGGGTAGGGCAGGCAAGGGACAGGCAGGTGGTCCAGGGCCCTGTGGGCCAAGGGAAGAACTTGGGCTTTTACCTGAGGAAGGTGGGAGGCCTGGAGGGCTGTGAGCAGAGGAGGGATGGCCCTGAGTCAGGAGCTCACGGGCGCCCTCTGGCTGCTGCAAGGGGAACAGACTGGGGGGGTGAGGGTGGGAGCTGGGGGAGCTTTTCAGCGATGACTGCACTTGTCCAGGGGAGGGACACTGGAGGCCGGCTAGGCAGAGGGAGAGAGGAGGCAAGACGCGGGCAGATTTGGGATAGATATTTTGAAGGCAGAGCCGATGGAGCTTGCTGACATTCTCCATGACCCCTTGCAGGGGATCCTGGGAAGCAGGAGTCAGCAACAGGGCCGTGGGGCTCCACAGGATCCTACACTGTTGTGGGAAGTTCCTGCAGGGAGGATCTGGGGCCTAAGAGACTCCGGGGCTTACATCTTCTGTGGTGGTGTCTGCCCCCCTTCCCAAGTCTGCCCTGTCTGCTGCCCTCACTCCTGCACCCATCCCATGCTGAAACCCCCATGCCGTCCTCCCCAGCAGGCTGGGGCAGCGGGTTTGGAGGAGTTGAACGCCAGGAGGGTGTGGCCTGCCAGACCAGGGCTATGACTAGGGCCCTTCTGGTTTAGGGGGTGGCTGCCTGAGTTCCCTTGGGCCATGGGGGCAGGGGAGGCAGCCGTGACTGGTGCTCCCATCCATACCTCCCACCCGGGTTCTGTGCTCAGGTCGCCCCGCCACGCCAGCCCGTATTTCCAGGTGAGGAGGCTTCCTCCTCACAAGGCTGGACCAGGAAGTCTCTGTCCTGGGGTTTCAGCCCCTCTCCGCTGCGGCTTGCTGAGCTGCCTCCGTTTCCCCAGAGGCTCTCTGAGGCCTGCTCCCCAGACGTGGCCAGATGGGCATCTGTGGGTGGAACCAGCTGCTGTGGTCACCCTGACTCCAGCTGGCCATGGGCTGTTTTCCCCAGCCGGGGCCACCGCCTTCTTTTTTGGCCACTTTAGCTCTTAAAGTGCCCTGGCTGGGGCCCAAGGTAAGGGACAGGGCTCTGGGCATCCATCCTCCCGTCTGGCCAACCCCCAGCTGGTGGTGTATGAATGTGTGTTTGTAGACTGACTGTGCGCACTTGTGTGTGTATGACAGCGATCGGACTTTGCATGTCTGTGTTTGTGGTCTGTGTGCAGGGGTGGTCTGCTGGCTCCATGGCCTGTGTGTCGTCTGACTGTGTGCATGCCTCCGTGTCTGTGCTGTGAGTGTGAAGTTTATCTGCCATGCACCCTCTGTCTCTTACCTGACTGTTGATACCTGCCTGTGGCCTGACTGTGACCCTCGGCGTGTGCTCATTACCTGTGGTCTGTGTGTGTGCCCCGTGTGCCTCTCTGATCTGTGTGGGCTTCCTTATGCCTGTGGTGTGTGTGTGTTTCCAGCCCTCTTGTGACCCTGCATGGACACCTTGTCTGAGCCTGTATTTGTCTCTGTGCTTGTGGTCTGATAGCCTGTATGTTTCCTGCCCACTTGTGAGCCTCCAGGAATATCTTACCTGACTGTGTGTGTGTCTGCTGTCTGACTTGACACATCTGTGTCTGAGGTCTGGTTTTAGACCTCTGTGTTGGTAGTCTGACTATGCGCACATTGTATCTTCTTGGTGTATGTGTGTCCATCTCTGTTGGCTGGCTCCATGTGTCTGCGTGTAGTCTGACTGTGTGCACATCTGTGGCCTCTGTGCAGCCTGTCCCAGTTGCCTGACTGTGTGCACACACTGTGTCCATGACTAGTCTGTATGTCTGTGGCCTGAGTGTGTGTGTACCCATCCCTGTGGCTTCACTGTGCAAGCATCTGTGTCTGTCCATGGTCTGATTGTGTGTCTGTGGTCTGACTGTGTGTCGATGGCCCGTTTGTGGCCTCTGTCCAGTCTGCCCCAGTGACTTGATGGTATGCATACATTTGTGTCTGCATCTAATCTGTGTGTCTGAGGTCTGACTGTGTGCATGTCTGTGTGTAGACTTTGCCTCTCCATAGTCTGTGGGTCTGTGGGTCTGTGGTCTGACTGTGCACACGTCTGCGTTTACACCTGTCTGTGTGTGTGGCCTGACTGTGTGCATCTCTGTGGCCTGACTCTTCAGGTATCCTTTCCTGTGTTCGTCTGTGTGTCTGCGGGGTCTTACTGTGTATGTGTGGTACCCTCCCCTCCCCTTCCCTGCACGCTCCTGTGACCCGGGCGTAGCAGCCCAGCCTTTCCCTGGGGCCGGGCGAGGTGACCGCAGGCGGGTATTTTAGGACTCAGGATCACAGCAGCTGCACCATCATTATGTGGCCTTCGTCCCTGTGGCCGTGACCTGGACCCACCCAGGCCTGGTAACCAGGGTGTGGGATGACCCGGTGAGGACCTCAGGCCTCTCCCTGGCCGGAGACTGGGGACATGGGGAGGGGACTCGGCTAGGTATTCAGCCACTTGATGAGGGCTTCCTTCGCTCTGGGTGAGTTTGGGTTCCTGTGGGGGAAACAGACACTAGATGACTGGTGGCGTAGTGCCTGACGCATCTGACTGCTAACCAGAAGGCTGGCGGTTCAAAGCCACCACCCACTCCTCGGAAGGAAGGTTGGGGAATCTATTTCCATGATGATACCACCTCGGAAACCCAAGGAGGGGTTACTATGAGTCGGATCTGACTCAACAGCAGTGGGCTTTTTTTTTTTTTTTTTTTTAAATCTAATTGCAGACCACTGGTGAATGCAGTGAAGGGCACTTTTTGTAATGGAGAGGCTGTGGGACATGGAGTGGGGGGCACTGACCTTCACTGAGGAGGTGACGGTTGAGCTGGGACAGGGTGGAGGCAGCCATGCTGGGGGGTGGAGGTGAGAAGCAGTGTCCCCAGAACAGCAGGGACAGAGACTCTGAGGTGATCTGAGATCAGCCTGTGCGGCTCGTGCCCCGAGGAGGAGGGGGCACTGAAGTTGGTAGCCAGCCTTCCCTAGGGGTGGCGGGAGCCGTGAGAGGTTTTAGAGCCGGACAGAGATGGGCAGGTGCACCTGTTGGGAAGGTGCTTCTGGTGACTGAGCAGGGTCGGTTGTAGGGCCAGGTGGCAGCAGGGGGAAACGGGTCTCCACAGAGCTGAGGAGCAATGATTTTGGAGTACCCACGGGACTGGTATTCAGTCCAAGGTCACGGTGCAGCCCAGGGTCAGGACTCAGCCCAGAGCTGAAGCTCAGCCTGGGTTGAGCTGGGACTGTTTGTGGTTGGGGCTCAGTCTGGGATTGGGGCCTGGTCTGGGGTTGAAGCTCAACCCAGAGCTGGGGCTCAGCCAAGGTTGGGGGCTCCATCCAGGATTGGTCTGGGATTGGGGCTCAGCCAGGGTTGGGGCTCAGCTCAGAGACTAAGCAAGGGTCCGGGCTCCATCCGGGACTGGGATTTGGTCTTGGGTTGAGGCTCAGCCCAGAGCTAGAACTCACCGGGGTCAGGACTCCATCCAGAGTGGGGGCTTGGTCCAAAGTTGGGGGTTCAGCCTGGGGTCAGAGGTTCAGTTGGGGTTGGGGCTCAGCTGGGATTTGAGTACTCACCATTTCCTTTCTGCCCCTTTTCCCTGTAACCCTCCCTCATCCCTCTTTGATCCTCCTGCCACCTCCTCCATGCAGACTCCCAGATTTCCCCACTCTCCACTTATGGCCCTTCCGTTGTCTCTGCAGGCGCTGCCCCGTCTGAAGCTCGGCTCGAGGCCTCTCTGTAAGGGACCAGGGGGCCATACCTCCTCCAGGGCGGAGGTTGGAGGTTGCTGCCAAGCATGGCGGCCACCCGAGGCCCTGGCGTGCCGTCTCTGGTTGGTCCTGTGGGCCTCCTTGTGGTCCTGCTAGTTGGAGGCTGCGTGGCAGAAGGTAAGAGAAGCTGGCATGGGATGCGAGTGTGCCTTTGTGTGTGTGTGTGTATGTGAGAGAGAGAGAGAGAACACATCTCTGTCTCCTCCCTGGGGCTCTTGGTTTTGCCAAATAGAGCCCCTGCTGTCCATAAATGAGGCAGCATAAAGCACCTACTGTGTACTGGGCTGTGCACTGAGAGCTTCAGAGGTAAATAGTAATAATGATATCTGTGAAACAGTGACAGTAAAGATAGGGACATCTGTTTCTTGCCCATCAACTCGGCATCAAGCCCAGTGCTAAGCACAGACATTACCTGCTTCAGCTCCCTGGAGCCTCACAAGACCCCACTGTGCCAGTTCTTTTACCTTCCTGTTTTCCAGTGAGAGAGACCAAGGCTCAGAGGGCGCAGGGACTTCCTTGAGGTCACCCCTGAAAGTTGGTTCCCTTTCTCTCATAGCAGGCAGCAAATGCCAGTGCCCAAGTGGCAGACACACCTTCCCAGGCAGAGCAGGAACGGGAGTAAGGGACAGAGAGAAGTTAAGAGAGGCTTGTTGGGACAGAGGGCATTGCAGCTGGGGCTTTGTGACTGTGTAGGAGTTTGCCAATGGCTAGGGCATCCCTGGTGGAGGGGATGGCACACAGAAAGGCCTGAAGGGAAAGAGATTCATGTAGTTGGGGGTAGGGCAAGGCCATGTTTCTGGCTATAAGATGGGGAAGATGAGGGTTAGTTCCAGGTCCAACATCAAGACCTACTGTACAGATAGGGGCCTCAGAGGAGGCATCACTCAGGCTTGTGTGGATACAGGAGGGCAGGTCAGCAAGGCCCATTGTTGTGGAAAGAAATTGGCTTCTGCAACCAGTCAACCTGCTGTGTGATGACTGGCCCGTGGCTTAACCCCCTCAGCCACCCATCTCTGCCTCGATTTAACAGAGCTTATAGCATTATCCACATCCCAGTGGGCTGATGACAAAGGTACCTCATAAGCCCCTGCATGCTTAGAAGAAAGGGCATTGGAGCTGGGGCTTTGTGGATGTGTAGGAGTTTGCCTACTGCATTGTCCCCTCCACCAGGCTATAGCGCTCCTGGTGGAGAGGACAGCACTGTAGACCCACAATCCTATGCTACCGTCAGCATAGTAAATGTTGTTGGGCCAACATTGGAGATACATACGTCTGCTTCTTCCATTTGTGATTTTTCTTGTTTTCGTGTCGGTGGTGGTTTCTTGTGTTTTTTTTTTTTTTTT